CAGAGGCCATGCAGGGGATTCTGAGCTGGCCTGGCTCCGCGACACCCTCCAGGAGCCGCCAGCAAGAACCATAGACACTGTCAGTTTCCATCAGCCTCATGCCTCCCACAGACAGCCACCAGCCCGGCTGCTGAGCTGAGCCCATCTCTCCAGCTGGGGACACTGTATATGGAGGAACCTCCCAGCCAGGGGTAGATTAATGCGCGTTCCTGGGGGGCTCCCTCATGCACTCGAACATGGGCCTCGAGTCCAACGAAAAGAGCATTGACGGGAGACACTGTCAGTTTCCATCAGCCTCATGCCTCCCACAGACAGCCACCAGCCCGGCTGCTGAGCTGAGCCCATCTCTCCAGCTGGGGACACTGTATATGGAGGAACCTCCCAGCCAGGGGTAGATTAATGCGCGTTCCTGGGGGGCTCCCTCATGCACTCGAACATGGGCCTCGAGTCCAACGAAAAGAGCATTGACGGGAGTGTTGGGAGCAAGACGAGACGTCATCCTTCCCCTCTGCGCGGCGCTGATCAGGCCTCAGCCGGAGGATCGTGTCCAGTTCTGGGCCCCACGTTTCAGGAAGGATGGGGAGAAATTGGAGAAAGTCCAGAGAAGAGCCACAAAAGTGAGGAAAGGTCTGGAGAACATGAGCGAGGAGGGAGACGGAGCGAATCGGGCTTGTTTCGTTTGGGAAAGAGAAGACAGAGGGGACATGAGCAGTTTTCAAGTATCTAAAAGGCGGGAGGGGGGGAAATTGTTCTCCTGGGCGTCTGAGGACAGGACGAGAAGCAATCGGCTGAAACTGCAGCCAGGGAGGTTTAGGTTGGACATGAGGAATCACATTGTCGGGGGGGTGAAACATTGGAACAAATTGCCTGGGGGGTTGTGGAAGCTCCATCCCTGGAGATAGTGAAGAGCAGGCTGGACAGACGCCTGTCAGGGATGGGCTAGACGGTGCTGGGTCCTGCCGTGAGACCAGGTGGCTCTTTGGCCTGCTTGAGCTTTTCCCTGCTTTGCTGGACCACGTCATGACACTGCCCCTCTTTTGCTAGATCTCGCACCAGGATCGGTGCCCCGGCAGCAGTGGGGGAAGGCAGAGCTGGGGAGGGGGGAGCCGCACCTGGGGGAGCAGGGAGGATGCCAGCAGAGCGCAGGGGGGCGTTGGGTAAGGAAAGGCAGGGGCATTTCGGTTCCCAAGGGAGCGGGTGGAGCAGAAATTGGTGGGGTGGGGGCTCAGGGAGTGGTTCCAGCCAAAGCAGAGTGTCTGGAGAGCTGGCAAAGGGCGCTGAGAGGAGCAGCGGCCAGCTCCGGAGAACCCAGCTGTGGGGTGTTTCTCTGGCACGGGCTGTGCTGTGGGGGCGTTGGGTAAGGAAAGGCAGGGGCATTTCGGTTCCCAAGGGAGCGGGTGGAGCAGAAATTGGTGGGGTGGGGGCTCAGGGAGTGGTTCCAGCCAAAGCAGAGTGTCTGGAGAGCTGGCAAAGGGCGCTGAGAGGAGCAGCGGCCAGCTCCGGAGAACCCAGCTGTGGGGTGTTTCTCTGGCACGGGCTGTGCTGTGTAGGGCTCCCCCTGCACCACTGGCTGGCAGGTGCCCGGTGTGAGCAGGAGATACGGCAGCTGAGCCAGGCCCAGGCTCTGGGAGGCCCTCCTGGCCCCAGGGAGACCCCCCCC